GTATTATGTATAAGTAGCATATTTTTATTAAGCTTGACACTTTATGATTTGTCAAAATTTGTATTATTGCTTATTTAAAGTGTTGTTAAAATAAATATGTAAAAAGTTGACACCTCACGACAATGTCAACAAAGATTTTAGGGTTATGCTACATGTATATAATGGTTTGTCAACGGATAATGTAGCGAGATTTAATTAAATCAAAATCTCATCAATTAAAAATTTCTCCACTTATATTTTTGACACATTATCATTATATATTTATATAAGACATTATGTAAATAGTCATATACAAGAAGTATTTTTCAAGATTTTAATAGCCGGGAATAAAAATGTATAGCACTAGTTTAATTGCACTAAGATCTTACATCTTTGCTTATTATTTCACTTATGTCCCAATTTATCTTTTGTGCATTTTTATTGTCAATCTTCTAATAATTAGCACATTGTACATCCATTGATGATTGCTTTCTCTAAATATTAAATATTATGTAGTATTTGTGCATTTGTCGTTGTTTTGTTTATTTAAAAATATGAGGGGCAAGTAAATATTTTTATCATCATCATAAATAAGATGTGTTAATTAGTAGAAGATTGAAAATTAGAATGTAATAAAAAGTTGGGTGTATAAATATAGTAATAAATAAAGATTGAGGACGTTTAGTGCAATTAAAAGTGGTGGAATGGCATAATGTGTCTAATCTCATCCCTCTGGATTCCGTGACTGGCCCAAATACCTTCGCATTTTAAGCCGTCCGATTCTTTTATCCACGGCCCATTAGAAACCCTAAAACGCCTACCGCAACTGAACTCCCTATATAAACCAGTTTACCCTTTTCATTCTCATTCTCGCTCTTCACAGAAATTAAAACTCTCTCTGCAGTCGGCGGGTGAGAGATTTCTCTATACTACCTTCAAAGGTAATTTCTTTCTTCATACATATATACTGTAATGTGTAATTGATCTATATTGTTTCTTGAGTATAGTTACCAGATATGTTATATGCCTATAAGTATGTTTATCGATCTGTATTGTTTTGATTATATGTAATGGATTTTTCATATATCTGTTATGCGTATGTGTGTTGATCTGTCTTACTTTGAATGTATGTGACAGATTTGTTTACTGTTATGTATTATTCTATTATTAGAATCGTAGATTTGTTTAATTGAATCTAGTATCAGTCTTAACATATTCATGCTAAACTGACTTGTGAAGATCTGAACTTTTGTGTGCTGACTATATAACTCACTCGATTTGTTAAATTTTTTCCTGTTCTGTTATACAGTTTGTAACCGTGTTTACATAAGCACCTAGAATTCTCCCTAATGATGGTAAAAAAATTTAGATCTTTAAATACCTTTTAGATCTGTGTTTTTTTTAATGATCTTTTGGTTCATGAACTCCAGAATTATTTGAGCTGCAAATCCTTGTTTTTGGAGTCTTGATCTATCTTATATGATTCTTTGCATACTGATTCACTTGTTATATTTGTTTGCTTTTCGGTATGTTGTAGTTTGGTAAAAACATTAATTGGTTATTTTGACAAAATAAGTGCGATAAATAAATGATTTTATTTTTTATTTAATATCTGATTTGAGTTGTTTTAACTTGCAGAGGTTTGTATGTGTTTTTTAGTAACTGGAGTTATCTTAAATTTCATTATTGATATGCTTTTTAATGCTTTTGCATATAAATTGTCCTGATGTTAACAATTATTTGTGGCAGCTTTCTTTTTAGAAGTAAAACATGGGTAAGGAAAAGATTCACATTAGCATTGTGGTCATTGGCCACGTTGACTCTGGAAAGTCAACCACCACCGGCCATTTGATCTACAAGCTTGGTGGTATTGACAAGCGTGTTATTGAAAGGTTCGAGAAGGAGGCTGCTGAGATGAACAAGAGGTCATTCAAGTATGCCTGGGTGCTCGACAAGCTCAAGGCTGAGCGTGAACGTGGTATTACCATTGATATTGCCTTGTGGAAATTCGAGACCACCAAATATTACTGCACAGTTATTGATGCTCCAGGACATCGTGACTTTATCAAGAACATGATTACTGGTACTTCACAGGCTGACTGCGCCGTCCTTATCATTGACTCTACCACTGGTGGTTTTGAAGCTGGTATTTCCAAGGATGGTCAGACCCGTGAACATGCTTTGCTTGCCTTCACCCTTGGTGTCAAGCAGATGATTTGCTGCTGCAACAAGGTGAGTCCACTTTTATGGTTAAAAATTGTGATCATTTTTATTCCTAACAACCTCTAAA